TTCCCCCCGTTAGCACCCACCGCCCACCCAGTCCTTTTCTTGCATCACCCTCCCCCCATCCTGATTTTCACATGATGCCTACTTCTACTGCGGCCTTAACTGCCCAGCCACTAACCGTTTGCATCCTTCAAATAATTTGGATAAACTATCTTTTTCCCCCACTTGGTTTCCTGTTGTATTGTTTGCTTTTTGTTCTGAAAGACAGAGATCCCAGTCTCTTAAAAAAAGATTCCTTCTCCACCCCGCCTATCCCAGGGCAGAAGAAGGCGCGGTGCTGATATCGGAATGCTTGGCTCACGTGCCACGCCCTCCTCAGACGCAGATCTCAATGGCTGTGGCCAAAACCATCTGGCCTTTCCCCTTGTCTGCCCGGCCATCAGTTCTGTTTCCTCCCCCAGGGGAAGGGAGACCGGGCTCCGAAGCAGCAAGCCGGGAGACGCTGCCCTCCGTCAGGATGGTCCTCTTGAGCGGGGTTGGGGTGCAACCACTGGGCGTCTCGTGGCGGTGAGGACCGGCCGAGAGCTTGTCCCCGGTGTGCTTGCGGGAGCGATAGGAGGGCCGCCGGCGCATCTCGGACATCAGGTCGTACTTGATGAAGAGAAAGAGCTCCTTCACCGGGCAGCGCTTTTCCGGGTCGAGGGCCAACAAGCGCTGGAACATCCGCAGCGCGTTGTCCGTGAAGCGGCGCCACTGGGAGGGGAGGCCCGCCAGGCGTCCCTTTTGCCACCTTACAAACTCCTCAAAGAAAGAATCTGATGCCGTGGCCGCTTCCCAGGGGAAGTTGCCCGTCAGCACGCAAAAGATCAGCACCCCGAAAGCCCACACGTCGATGCTGGCGTCCACAGTGAAACCCTCAGCCCGGCCCGCCTGGCACACCTCTGGCGCTGTGTACGGGATGGTGCCGCTGATGCGCTTCACCCGGCACCCTACCTTGCGCGTCATGCCAAAGTCAGCCAGCTTGACGCGCCGGCAGTCACGGTCAAACAGGAGGACATTTTCCGGCTTGATGTCCCGGTGCACCAAGTTTTTGCTGTGCATGTAGTCCAGCGCCAGGCCCAGCTGTTGCACACAGCGCTTCACCATGTCCTCTGGAAGCCCCACCTGCAGGCACAGAAAGACGTTGAGAACTGAGTTTACAGCTGGAACTGCCCAAGCCAAGGATGGCCTCACATTATACTTCAGTCCACTCCTTCCTTCCTTCCTTCCTTCCTTCCTTCCTTCCTTCCTTCCTTCCTTCCTTCCTTGCTTCCTTCCTTCCTTCCTTCCTTGCTTCCTTCCTTCCTTCCTTCCTTGCTTCCTTCCTTCCTTCCTTCCTTGCTTCCTTCCTTCCTTCCTTCCTTGCTTCCTTCCTTCCTTCCTTCCTTGCTTCCTTCCTTCCTTCCTTCCTTGCTTCCTTCCTTCCTTCCTTCCTTGCTTCCTTCCTTCCTTCCTTCCTTGCTTCCTTCCTTCCTTCCTTCCTTGCTTCCTTCCTTCCTTCCTTCCTTGCTTCCTTCCTTCCTTCCTTCCTTGCTTCCTTCCTTCCTTCCTTCCTTGCTTCCTTCCTTCCTTCCTTCCTTGCTTCCTTCCTTCCTTCCTTCCTTGCTTCCTTCCTTCCTTCCTTCCTTGCTTCCTTCCTTCCTTCCTTCCTCCCTCCCTCCCTCCCTCCCTTCCAGTCCCCACCCAGAAGCAAGAAAAGTGTACAGAAAGACCAGGTTATGACAGGCAGATGTTTGGGTAGCCTACTTCAAGAAATGGAGCAGGGTTAGGGCTCATCCCCCTCATTTCCCCACTGTCTCCCCCATGGGGATGAAATGCAAATCTCCTTGCCAGGACTGTAAGCAGTGGTGTAAAGATCTGCACCCTTTAGGGAATGATGGGAACCCTTGGAATGTTGAGAACATGTTGGGAGTGCTCTTGCACAATGGCAGCCGGGGAGGGGGCGTATTCCTTCCTCAAATGGGTGCTTTGGGGATATAGCCAGTTGTAAGCTCTAATTGGTCAGAATATCACCTGCTGTCTCCTGCCTGTACATGTTCAGAGTGCTTGATGTTCTGTGATGGGAACATACATTCTTCAGGTTCCATAAGGAAGGCAGTACAGATAGCCCCAGATTAAGAACACCAAGTTTAAGGACAACCCATAGTTAAGAACAGAGCCTATTGTAGCAAATGTCAAGTTAAATAAACAATCATTGAGTTAAATACCCAATGGTTTGAGTTAATTACACAATACTACCTGTACAATAATACTATTCCGACTTACATACACATTTGACTTAAGGACAGACCTTGGGAACGGAACTCACTGGGGACTACCTTAGACAGCAAATTAGTTTCACCCTAATGGAGCATCCTAACCCAGTCTTCCAAGCTGACTTCCATCTATGGCTTGCAAAATCCAAAAATATGTGTAGTGTCAACAGCACTGAACTGTAGTGGATACGTTCCATGACAATGCTCCTCAGCCCCAGCCAATACGCAGGGATTTGGGAAGTGATGGCCCAGACAGTCTGACCATCTGGACCATCTTGACTCTCCTTGGCATGGATTACCTCTATTGCTTAAAAAAGTTGCAAAATGATCCTGTAGCCCTTGCAGCAAACCTTTCAGGGGATCCTTGCTATGGGTGGGTGGGGAAGGAAAGACAAAAAAGGGGATGGAGTTCAAATACAAGTAGTCGGGGCCATCTATGAGAATTGTTATGTCAGGGATAAGTTAATCTTCCCCTGCCCAGCCTTCCCAACTCTTGAAATCATCTTCTCATGGGAAAATTAGAAGTAATTTCTGTGCAGGAAACAAGATGAAGCTGTAGACCAGATGAGGAGATCACACTTGGTCCACAGACCATATGGTTTATATCATAACTTGATCAAGATTCCATGAAATAGCTTCAGGAAACAGAGATACACCCAGTCAACCATCTTGGGATTATATTAAAAGACATCTTGCACCCCCTTTGATTCAGGGCAAGAAGTGGCAACCAAGGTTCACCTACCTGTGGAGGAATGATGTCGAAAAGGTCTCCTCCAGGGGCGTATTCCTGGGCAAAAACATAGCAGTCCTCAGTCTCAAAGACGACATCAAAAACTTTGATGATGAAAGGGCTTGAAGATAAAGTATTGGTAATGCTGAACTCCCTCAAGAAATTCTTCAGTTTGGTCTTGTTCTTGTTGACAAATTTCAGAGCCATCTTGGTGCCTGTGGATGGGGAAAATGGTGGAAGAAAGAAGATTCTGAGCAACTCTCTGGATGACGTGGGCAAGGAAATAAAATGGTTCCAGAAATCACTGTCCATGTGAGATAAGGGTGACCACTCAAAAACTGACCTTTTAATAGGATTGAAGTTTTCCTACAGACTCAGTTAGCCGTACCATGATGGATTTATTTATTCAGTAGGTAATAAATGGTCCCCAGTGTTCAAGAGTTTTCCTTGGGCTACAACTCTATGCTAGTTAAGTCACGATTTGTTGGTTAGGTTTGGCTTAGCATATCGCATGAATTGAGACACTACAGTTTATAACCATGGGTTATGCTTAATGTATTGTGTAAACCCAGCTAATTGGGGTCTATTTAATAAAACCCTGATTAAACAGACCTTGATTTAGCATTATTTATGATTAAGTTATTTATGAACAATTGATCCCAAAGGACTTTAGGAGATGCACAGCAAAACAAAGCAATAAAAAAAATGCAAATATTATACATATAGTCCTTGTTTAATTACTGCCTCATTTAGCAACTGTTTGCAGTTACGATGGTGATGAAAAAGTAGCTTTACGGCCAATCCTCACATTTACAACCTTTGCAGGTCTGTAAAGCAAAGGAAAGCTGAAAGAAGATTGTAAGCAGAGTTGCAGGTTAGTGACTGGTTCGCTTAACAACCAAGTTGCCAATCTCAATTGGGGTTGCTAAATGAGGACTTCCTGTATATTATATATTAAAGCAATGCTTCTTTAAATGATGGACTGTTTTGTAACCCTGGATTTCCAATGAATCAGTCTACCTGAAATTGTCAGCTGTTGAATTCTATCTTGCTAAAATCTGGGCTAAACCAGAAGATACTGGTCAAATTGATACAGTATATCATATTTAGCCATAATGTAGGATGTTAGAAATATCTCACCATATACAGGCATGGGAGAGTGTCATGCAATGGGGGGAGCAAGTGGCCAGCGGCATCTGTTACAAACTGATGACACCAAAGTGAAAACACTTAATCCCACAAATGTTGCCATTGCATTCTTGTGTCCCAACATCTGACATTGTGACATTTGGGTGATGACATCATCATGTACAAGCTGGGTTTGCATTCTGTTCCCCTACAGATGGCTATGCCATGACATCATCCCTTATGTTGCATAGCAATGAGGTCATAATGGTGCAATGTCATTGTGCCTTCTAGTGGACACCTGCAGAAGGTATTCCTGTAACTCCATCTCTTTCTCTGCCACCCATGAATTTTCCTGAGTTGGGAATGACTTAAGTTTCCTTGCCTTAGCCTGTTTTTCCCCAGAATTCACCCAGCGGTTAGCAGATGAGCAAGTGGATTATTTTCATTTGTTTGTTTGCCATTTTTAATAAATTAGAAGTGTGGACCATGACGAGGGAAGGGAGAGACATCACATTCTGCCCCTCCATGGAACTCACCCGTGCTCTTATGGGAGACCAGATCTACCTTCCCGTAGGTTCCCTTCCCCAGCTCACGGATGAGGTCGTAGTGCTTGTTGATGTCCGTGCCAGAAAGTGTGCGGATAGCCAGGGACTGCATGTCCTCCGTAATCAGGGGAACTCCACAGCAGGCCAGCTTGCGTGACGGCTCTTGTTCAATGGAAGCGGCACTCATGGTCATGCTGGAAGCGAGCAAGAGGGAGATTTCTGTCATCTGTCATCGAAATAACTTTATTGCGGTCATTAACCAGTGCAAAAGGGAATGGGCGTTCGAATGCGCAAAGCTAAATTGACAGTATCAGGGTACCTACAAACAAAGAGTTTAGGCTAAAAGGCAATATTAAATCAATAAATGCTAAGATGCTAGATCAGGCTATCCATGTGCGACAGAAGAGAAAAGAGATTAAAATGAGCAAGCTGGGTAGTATAAACTGTGAAATAACAACATAAAATGCAAATACCAATTTTTAAAAAAAAATGGTAGAAGAAACATAAGATTATCCAAGTAATCAAATCTTAGGAAAATTCACTTCTGGGCTTCTCTTTCTCCATCGCTGTTGGATGAGCCTTTCTACTCTGTCGGAAGCATTTTTACTCAGAAATACAAACCAGTTGGTTTTTGCCTTTTCTTTTTACTCGCAGTGGGCAATCATTAAGAGGGATTGAGGAAGAGTAACCGAAGACCAAATACTCTTAAAATAATGCCCTGTATTTTCACCCAAACTAAACATATATGCACATACACTAAGAGGCTAACTGGCTAAGAAGGCAACCTTTGGAAGTTGGCAATTCTGATGGTTGCATAGAATCTAAACAGGGGCCTAACTGAGGATCTTTGTGGGTGATCTAGGGCCCCATAATTCAAGTTTGATGTAGAAACCAGCAGAATAGAAAGCAGGTTCCCTCACACAACCTTGATGTCATAGGAATCCAGCAACATATTGGCTGAGTTCACCCAAAATCCGAAACCCAGGTTCTCAAAACACCATTCCTATATTTACATATCACAACCAAATAAACCACATGTTGGCTTTATTCACCCAGGATGCTAGGACAATAGTTTCTACAATACACCGAGCCATAAAGCTCTCCACCCCGTTTTGGCTAGCCTAGCATCTTGGGCCAACCTAGTCTTTGTGTCCTTCGGGGAATAAAATCCCAAAGGCAGTCTGAAAACCTCCCTTTGCAGACATCCTTCTCCTTGCTCTAAATGTGTCAGCCCATGCTTTCGTAGCTCATGCATGACTCCTTTCTGAGGTCACTCCCGCTGCCACCCATTCTCTGTCCTGGTTTAGCCCTGGCTGCTAGTCCCCCGTAGTTCATTTCCAAAGACTCAAGCAGGACCTGGGTGGGTGTAAGCTTAGCTGAGCAAGTCATGGATTTGGGGTCAGACTTGCTATGCTTCCCTCTGTGGAAGAGGAACAGCAGTAATGCACTACTCAGGATGAGTCTTTTGGACTGAGTCCACACTTTGCACTGAGCCAAAACTTATTTTAAGCATGATTGATAGATGGATGGATGGATGGATGGATGGATGGATGGATTGACTGATACATTGGCAGGTAGCAATGTCCAAGCCAACCATGGCCGATTGTAAAAAGCTAAGCAGGGTCAGACCTGGTCAGTACATGGATGGGTGACCACCATGAAGTTCAGGGCTGTAGGCTAGACAGGAAGTTGGAAGAAGCCAAGGGCAAACCATTTCTATCCTGTTGCCAAGAACGCTGCATGGACATGTCCATGAGGTCACCACAAATAGCATCTCACTCAAAGGAATCTTTAGGACAAGGGGCCTGGTTGAACATGATGCTACAGCAGGGGTGCAAAAGGTACAGCCTCCAGCATCCTTTCTTGGTGGGAGGAGGACTTAAGAAACAAAAATGGTGTCTGAAGTCTGGAAGATGCTTAAGGCATCCATTTCTCCACTTCAAACCCCCCCCAAACGAACACCTTGCTCCACTCCCTTGTGGATCCTGCAAGCTAACAGAAGTTGCCTTCCCTTAGGCTGTGCCATGAAGCCCAATTTGCAATCCACCCTCACTCCGTTCCTCTGACCTACTAAGTCCAAACCTACTAAGTTACAACCCGGTTCACCCCTCCACGTTGCGCCACATTTGCTTAACGAGGGTTTATTGGAGTACTCAAACTGACTACATGGAGATCACCCGCTAAGCCAAAATTAAACAAGCCACATGATAGCTTTGTGCAACATTTGAACCCAGTCCCTGTAGTCATACCGATTCCTTGCTCCAGCCCAGATGGAAATCTCCCTGTCCTTCTTTACGGCATGTCTCTAGCACAGTGTTTCTCAATTTCAGCAGCATTCAGATGTGTGGATTTCAACTCCCAGAATTCCCCAGCCAGGCCTGGTGGGTGGGGGGTTTTGGGGGTTGGAGGCCACACATCTTAAAGTTGCTGAGGTTAAGAAACACTGTTCTAGCAGGTACTGAGATGCAGTTAGGCATTCTAAGAGGAAAGCCAGCCTGGTCTATGATTGCCAAAAATCAGGAGAAGTCTGGTAGCAGGTTTTCAGACTACCTAACCAATTTTATTAAAAGGCTTAAGAGTCTGTGTCTCCTAGTCGAAACCTCCTCCTTCCAACAAGACTGTCCAGTTCTCAACTCATATTCAACTTCAGGAGGGGGCGTGTCAAAAAAGTCAAGATGGTGTCCATGTGAGGACAGCTCTGCCCCTTTTCTGCCTGCCATTGTGCAGGTAAAAAAGAGGCAGAACTTCAATCATATAGACCAGTGTTCCTCAACCTCAGCAACGGTGAGCTGTGTGGACTTCAACTCCCAGAACTCCCCCAGCCACCATACCCCGCTGGGTGGTTCGGGGGTTTGAATCCCACCAACCTCCACTTTCTCTGGGTTGGGGAAAACCAATTTGAACAGTTCTGACCATT